TTCAACTGGCCAGTTTGAGTACGCTTTGCCAAAGTTTTGCTAAATTCTGTCTTAACGTTTCAAACTTGCTATGATAATTGTTGACGTTGTAGGGTTTTGTCTTATCTCTCAACTATGTATGGTGAACAAGGAAAAAAATATTCTATGAGCATCTGCTTAGACTTGCAGTATGTGTCATTTGTAAGCAGTCAGAAACTTTCAGAAGTAATTACGTGCATAGTTTCTTAAGACAATTCTTAGTGAAAATGGTTGGGTCTATTTCTCAAAACACTTCCAGCAACCCAAACTTTAAACTTGAGCTGTCCGGGAGGAAAGATGAAAGTGGCTTGCCCTGTTTGCAGAAGGCTGTTTGTGACATTAAGAATATTATTTTGTTCTAGAGCGGATTTTGAGGTCAGAGTGCTGTAAAGCTGATTTACACATGAATTTATTTGTGGTGTTGGGATTTGTCTATGAAACAACTGTGAGTGAGTTTAAGATACATGTGAATGTCGCTAAGATTGCTGTTCTGTTTAGCTGCAGACATCGAAGTGACATTGATATGAAGTGAGTTACATCTGTTAGAATAATGATTGTAATCAAGTCATTTCTAGCAACAAATTAACATGTATTAGGGACTAATTTTCTGAGAGCATTGATGGCTGACTTGTCACTTCTGTTTATTTCTGAAAGGAATTAATACATTTTATCTAGTGTTCATTTTCAGGAGAGGCAGACCTTATGTGCTTACTAAATATTGTTTTGGAACACATCCAGTATAAAAATCTGAGGAATTTGGAGGACATTTAAACTTTGGAAATCTTTTTTTCTGTTCAACCAGGAAGCCTGAAATGAAATCTGTGGGTCAGATTTCCCACTCTTAAGCCTTGATTGACTGTGTTTATCTTCTAAGACTTGAAGATGGCTGCACAAACAAGTTACTGTGAGATGATCAAGAGCATAAAGTAATGCTAGGCAAGTACCTACCTGCTGCTGTCTAACTGGAGTTGTCACTGCTGCAAAGAAAGGAGCTTGCCCTCCTATCTCCTTTTGGGAGGGAGCGTATGTATGCTATTGCAGTGCTATTGATGGTATATTCACCCAGTGAGTTACCTCCATAGCAGGTTGTTCATGTACTTATATATTCAAAAGCTGTCCAGTTGGCTTGCGTGGAGTCGGTCACTGCAAGCCCCTGCTCTTACCAGTTGGTTTCTCGTTCTGGTGTGAGAGTAGTGGTAGGTCTCAGTGCTCAGTATGACTTCTGGAGCTGAAATAAGCATTTTCTGTCTTTGCATCAACTGAACAGAAAGTAGCTGGCTCCTGTTCATGGCTGGGAGATCTTAAGGCAAAATGTTTGGCATGAAAGATAGCATTATTGAGTCATGCAGCATCTAGGGTAGCCTGACAAAGGTTACCCGAATGGATGCGGTAAGCCATGTATGGGAGGTCTTGTTGGTGCCTCTTGGTGAATGCTTGCACGGAGCTAATAGGCAATTGAATATATGGAAATGGTTTACAAAAGACTAAATTTGGGGGGTATTTTGTCCTGCTCTTCTCTGTTGTGCAGTAATAGATGAGAGAACTGCCAGAGCTTTAAAACCACACTGTGTTGCTCTTGGAAGAGTGAAATGGAAGCTAAATCAGGAAGACAGAAAAGTTGAGGACTCGAATTAATAAAATGTACAGGTTACAGGCATGGAGTTTAGAATATAATTTAGAATGTAATTTCGAGTAAATTGAAAGCAGAATGTGGTTTGATCTTATGCAGTTGTTGTTGAAGCGAGGTGAGAATCGGATTCCTGTCAGTAGTTACTGTCAAATTGTAATATAGTCATATTGAATTTGTAAGTTTGCTTGGGTTTCAGTGCAGCATTTGAAGTGGCTTTTGAGCAAAGTGTTGTGCAGGAATGGTTATACAACAAGGCTTTTTTTTGTTTGTTTTATTTGGCTTCTATATAGTTTTCAACCTGTTGCAGAATGTATCAACTGCTTGTACTGACGTGTTAGGATTAATTCCTGTGTGTTGTGTGTACTTGGAAAAACTGTTCTTGCCTCTTATCTTCTCAAACAGGGTGGTACTGGTGACTGGAAGAATAAGCACGGTTATTTTAACCATCTCTGTAAGCTCAGTCCTGTGATACTACAGTCTGCAAGCTTGAGTGCTGTCTTATTCCTTTCCCCTGTAACCCTGTGTTCCCAGCTCCAGAGGTAGATGTAAAAAAAAAAAAAAAACAAAAAAAAAAAAAAAACAAACAACCAAAAAAACCAAAAGAACAACAAAAAATAACTCCTCTGG